GAGTTTGTGCACGGAAAAACGGTACCCAGAGTGTGTGCATTCACTGTGCAGGCGAATGCACGGGCATGCACACGCTGCGTGGGTGCAGTTTTCCCGTACACAAACTCTGTGGTATAACTTGGTAGAGCCGCTACAGTTCCTGTACATTCCGATGTATCTTGGTCGCAGTCTCACATTAAACTCGGCAAAAAGATGAAAATCCCTAAGAAAACCGGTGTAGTCGTGCAGTTTACTGTACCTGACAGCTATAACGGAGACGCGATTGTCATCTGGCAAAAGAATATCTTGTTACAACACTTGGTTGGTGTAGCGAACACCATAGTATCTATTGAAAATGGAATAGGAAGTACAGTAATTGCCAACTTCAGTGACAAACCAGTAACATTAAAAAAGGGTTGTTAATTGGTTATGTAGAAACACTAGCTGCAGAGGAACTGGCCGAATGCAACAATCTCCAACCTGGTACGAGTATTAGCCGAGATGAATTAAACGAGCATGTAAAAAATCTAAACCTTAACCTCAACTTAACTACCGAACAGCGAAACCAGTTAGTACACCTTTTCGTTAAATATGAAAAAGTATTCCCCTCCAAGTCCCACCCGCTTGGCTTGTGCTCCGAAGTCACACACGAAATCGACACAGGTGATAACAAACCGATAAAACGGATGCCGTGGCGCACGTCCTTTGCGCATCGTATTGAGATACAGAAACAAGTGAATGAAATGCTAAATAAAGGAGTAATTAGAAAATCTACGTCTCCCTGGGCCGCTCCAGTAGTATTAGTAAAGAAAAACGACCCGCATTCAGCATTACGTTTTTGTGTAGACCTACGCGGAGTAAATAACGTTACGCACCGGCCGATGTGGCCACTGCCGCGCGTAGATGACGCGATTTCTAGCTTTAGTGGCTCAGTGAATTTTTCATCGCTTGATTTTAACTCTGGATTTTGGCAAATCCGGATGAAAGAAAGCGATATACCAAAGACAAGTTTAATTACGCCCAACGGACAGTATGAATTTTTGAGAATGCCTTTTGGGTCATATTATAAATTTTTGAAAATAATATGACCCAAAAAATTGAATTTTTGGGTCATATTATAAATAAACACGGTCTTAGCCCTGACCCCTCTAAAATAGCTGCAATATCTGCCTTCCCGCGCCCCCAGACATCCAAACTAGTAAAATCCTTTATAGGCGCATTATCGTACTACAGGCAATTCATTCAAAATTTCTCGGGCTGAGTAAACCGCTTATCGAGCTGACAAAGAAAGACGCACCGTTTATCTGGGGCGAGAACCAACAAGCAGCTTTCGAAGAATTAAGAGTAGCATTGACAACAGCGCCGCTATGGAGGCCGTTCGACCCGGCATTACCTTCACAACTAAAAACCTACGCTTCCGGCATCGGAGTGGGCGCCATACTGGAGCAACAACATGCCGACGGGTGGCATGTTGTCGCCGCCTATGCGTCTAAAATGCTAGACAAGCACCAGATGAACTATCCGACGTCTGAAAAAGAACTTTTTGCCATCGTTTTCGGTATCAAAAAGTTCAAACATTATTTAATTGGCAAACATTTTGTAGAAATAACTGATCATGCCGCTTTACAATTTCTGTTGAACTTCAGGGCCTCAGTGCAGACTTAACCGATGGGCACTGTTACTACAAGAGTACGACTTCAAAGTAATTTACCGAAAAGGTCGTTTACATCAGGACGCCGACTTATTAAGTCGCAATCCACTCGAGCCGGCTGATAACAGACAATTGTGATATTCCTGTATATAGTACGAGTATTGACCCGTGTTTACTACCGACTACGCAGAAATTCGTTGACGAACAAGAATCTGATAATTTCATTAGCAACATTAAGGATATTATTAACAGCAGGAATAACACTGTCACAGTAAAAGCAGTGCAAGCAGACCTGGGCAGTTATAACTTAACTCATAACTTAACGCGAGTTATTTCCGAGTTATCGAGTTATAACGTAACTCTGAAGCGTAACTCGCGACGAAGAAAACTTAACTCTAACGTAACTCGAAAGTAAAATAGCGCAGCGTAACTGTAGCGTAACTTTGCGGTTTCGAGTTATCTGTAAACATATTGAACACAAACACAAAAGAAAGTTTGACTCAGGCCACATTACTTTCCGAAAATTCGCGAAACAGTAAATTAATGAACATCGCTTGATCTGGTGTACACCACAACCGCCCTAGGAACTGAGCCCACTGGCCATATGGCTGATTGTGAGTATGGGATTCTATTATGCCGTATATCTGTACGTGCTCGTAAACCGCAGCAAGTGCTCACGCCGCCTGCACAAGTACTTTTAAGCTAGACCGTACTTTTAAGTAACAGAAAGCGAATCAGCTTGGCTTCTTGAAAAGGGATTACTGTAGCCGCCCGCACAAGTTAGACCACAGAGTCGGTATACCGAAAAAAAGCGCACCAAATATACCTACTCTAACCGGGCAAATTGCACGGCTGTCGTACGAAGCAATATTGATTGTCAATAATATTACTTTTCCTTCAGCAACTGAATGATTAATTAATTAAAAGTCACATCTTCTCCGTTTTATGATTTCCCGGAACTATTCCGTTCTCACGTTTATCTCACAAGAATCATCACCGTACAGAATACTGCAAAGTGCAAAGGCTGAATCGCTACCCCCACCCGCCAGGGGCACCCCAAAAACCACAACAAACCAGGTTTACCCATCAGATAATCCGAGTCCTAAGTTTTTTTGCTTCTTTTAACTTAAGATGCTCATAAAAACAGTATCTTCAGTAAAATTATGAATTTAAAAATTAATAGAACGTCTGAGAACGAATTTACAAAACCGTGCATTTTGCCCGGTTAGAGTAGGTATATTTGGTGCGCTTTTTTCCGGTATACCGACTCTGTGGTCTAAGTTGTGCGGGCGGCTACAGTACGGCATCGGTTTTATGCCCTTTATCCGGCAGGCATAAGGTATTTAAAGGAAACGGCTACTATTATTTTCTTAGACTTAAAAATCGTATTGTGAAAGTAATTTTTAATTAATTCAGATTGAAAGGCCAAGGGAGACGCAAAGACCGTCTAATAGGTAGCTACCAATAAAGATAAAAAGGTAAAATGCTCTGCTCAGCTGTAGCGTTTCCTTTTTTAACCCCCTAACAACGGCACTACTAGCGGTAAAAAGCGGTCTTCAAAATCGGTGAAATGCGCTTTTCCTGGTAAATCCTCAAGTTTACGGCTCGTGAAATAGACTTCAAAACGCTTACGGTTAGCGCCGGTCCGGCAGTTCTAGCGTATTTTGTAATACAGGTACAGTACTTGTGCAAACATGTAGAGCTGATATGTTCCACTACTGTTTTTTTGGAATTAGAGAATCAGTTATTTATTTCGAAAAATACATCGGTGTGTGCTTAAAACCTAAAGTAAGTAATTAGTCCTAACTTAAACTGATTAAGAGCGCAAATCAAATTTTTTTTACTGTAGCGTAACTCGAGATATAACTCGTAACTCAAGTTTTTGGGAATAGCGTAACTCGTGACGTAACTCGCGCGCCCCGACTAACTCTTAACTCTAACTATTGGTCCATTTTCCATAACTGCCCAGGTCTGGTGCAAAGTATAAAAATAATGCACTATGCAATACGTAAAAAAGTGTACAGCCGCCTATCCCGGCACTATATATTAGCACAGTGCACTGTAGATGTATTACACGGCAGCACTGATAAGTATATATACCCAGAACAGTAAATAATAACAATATTATGTGAGCGTTTGCAGTCATGGAAATGGACACCCACGAGGCTCCCGCTAACGGAGACAGTAACACGGCGACAAGCAGCTCGGCACCGGCAGACACACCACAAGCAACACCCAGCGCCACCGTACCGCCTGAGTCGGCCTGACGCTATGGACATCCAGACAATTGGATATGATGATGGCAGCTTCAACAACGAGCCATTCCATCCAGTGACACGCCAGAACAGCCGCACACATGCACCTCCACCCGCACCGGCCGCTTCCGACAGTACCAATCAGCAACCCGGCCAGCGCACCGAACAGCAAAGTAACAATACTCCGCAGAACGGCCACGAGAATATCAACCAGCGCCAGCAGGGACAGCCACGCGCTGAGCGCATCCGTTATGTCACCGCAACTTCCCGTCAGACAGCACTCCCTGTTAACGACTTGCCGTTCAACCCGTTTATTAGCCGCAGCTGGGCCGTCACCACTGAGGACATACAGCGCCACATGAACAATATCGGTACCGCGATAGACCGCCTTCAGGAGCAACGCAGCACCCTGCCGAATAACTACGACGCACTGGGGATAGAGTACGAGATTGAACAGCTGAAGAGTATGTTCTCGTTTTTGGAGCGGCAGAGTAAACAAACTAACAGTAACAAATTCGTGACGTTCCCGGAACCACTCGCTACGTCTCTTGGCCACTTCTACCAGCAGTCCTGGCGTTTCGAACGTTTTGCCACCAGAGCCTGGATAAAGTATGCAGCAGAAGACGGGACCTGGCGATATGAACACCGTTCTGGTTTTGTGTATCGCTACATCCAGGGCCGTAGCGAGGGTATAGGCGCACTGGCGCGCGCCTACCCCTCCTCGGCCAATTTTTGACTAATATTTTCGCCCGAAACTGGCGCACAGGCGCACGGGCGCAAAATTTCTGGATTTTTCCAAAGGCGCAGCGGGCGCCACTGGCTATGCGCCCGTGGCGCAGAGTGGACTTTGGCCGATGTGCCTTGGTCTGAGGTACGGCGATCAAGAACTATAATAATTAAACTATGTTTTATTATTTTTATATTAATTAAAGTAGTAAAGCGCGGCCTGTTTATACGGGCGCAACGGGCGCAGGCTTCGAAATTTATGGGCGCAGTGGGCGCAGACTGACCTTCGAAGCGGGCGCAAATGGCGCAGCCAAATTGCGCCTACCCCATCCCACGGACCTCGCTACGGCCCTGGATACATCAGTAACTCACACCGTCAAGGTTTCGAAATGGTGGAGCAGTATCCGCGATATTTCAATCCGTACCGCTATTTCCCGATCAACATGCCGTTTTGGCCAGGTGAAATTGCCTGGGATGGATCATACACGGAAGAGACACGTACGCGAATCAGTAATTACATGGTTGAAATTGACGAGTATAAAACAGTGAAGGGTACCAATAATGACAAAGATATACAGTATCCTTTCGTCGAAATGGCAGACATGTGGGCTGGAGAGTATCAGCAACTTGATTTGGGCAAGATTATAGCAAAAACCGGCATTCGTGGATATGCACCGGACGAGCGAGGTCATCAGTCCACCGTGCGGGACGATAAAGTAACCATTGCGCAGTTGAATGCCAAAATTCGCCAGCTTGAAGAGCAACTCGGACACCCGCGCCAAGGTAACCAGCAGCAACAGCAGGGACAATACCAACCATACCCGCAACACCCCGGACAGCAGCAGCCGGAGCAGCCGCCGCGCCAGAATGGACAGCAGCACCCGCGCCAGAATGGACAGCAGCACCCGCGTCAGAATGGAGAACAGCAGCGTCGCCAGTACCAGCCACGCCGTTGAATCGCCTGACCGGAAACCGAAGAGAGCAACACAGCAACACGTGGGAGCAGCAACCCGCCATCCGGATTCACCACGATCAGTAACGTTCTTACAGCAACTCTCATTGTTATTTGCTCAAAATATCTGTGTTACTTTTCTTCTTTAATTTCCATTCCTGATTTTTACCGGATCTCTCTTGATAAGACATAGCTTACTGCTACCGTGCGGGATGTAGCCGTACAAATAAGATCGGCAGTGTTACTGTAATGATGATGAAGATTTCATTGGTGCTAGTTGAAGCGGAAAACATCTGAATGTGTACTTGTACGAATGTTCACTTTTATCATGAATTTCTACACTGGTTTGGGAAATGTCTAACTGATCTAAAATCATTCTTGCTCTTGCCCTTGCCCTTGCCCTTCTCCAATGTTTTCAGCTGAATAAAAATGTGTGCGTACGCGTTGACAATGTGTTCCATTGCCGGCTTTCGTTAAGAGTTAATTACATAAGCGATCTTAAAGTAATTCGTTAACACCACCAGAACTTCCGATCGTGGTACGGGTGTGTAACCCACTCCACTAGGGACAGCTTAGAAGTTGTCAATGCAGTACGGACTCTTCGACGTCTAAAGGACAACGAGTGGAAGAAGAAGAAAAAGGAAAAGGAAAAAAAGGAAACACCAAAAAAATCCCACTTCCTCCGGTCCTTCCTGGATGTAACGTCACATCCGACTGGCAAGACCTAAGTACCACAGAGGTACGAGTCATTAACATACCAGCACCGGAAACACTGAAACCGACTGTTCGGACCGTAAACACGGCGGAGGAGTCGGACGAGTTGGAAGATGAAGAAACACTTCCATCACCGCCTGAACCGAACGCGAAACTTCGGGAAGCGCAGCTGCGAGACCCGCAACTATGCAGAATAATTGACGAACTGGAAAATCCATAAAAACTCGACCATAAGTCGAAACATCTGGAACACTTCCAGATGGCCCAAGGAGTTTATACCGACTGAAGACGATCAACACAAAGTTTAAACGATGCTTCGTCGTACCGCTCTTCATGCGAAATCAGATTATTCGATCGCTCCATGACGGAAAAGCCGGAAACCACCGGACGGGAGAAGACGATCGAAGCACTGAAGTTGCGTCACTATTGGACAAGGATGAATAGCGACACTATCTCATACATTGAGAAATGCCGACAATGCATCATGACAAATAAGCTCCGATGTCCACCACCGGGTAAACTCTAAAAGACGGAGGTTGTTGAAGCATGGTATCGCATTTACGCGGACTTTAAAGGTCCCCTACCTCGGACGGAGACGAAGGGATACCAATATATCGCAGCGGTAACCGACCAGCTTCACGAAGTTCACCATAGCCCGGGCAGCGGAAACTAACACCGCGAGAGATTTCGAAAGGTTCTTCGTAAAAGACGTCCTACTGAAGTATGGAATGCCGACCTTGATCCACTCGAACAGAGGGAGACACTTCACGGCGAAGACGTTCGCCAAGGTCGCACGGATTTTCGGCATCCAACACACGCTTGGAACTGCCCACCATCCAGTAGGACAAGGACAAGTCGAACGGCAGATGCAGACGATATGGGACGGAATACGGAAGTTCTGCGACGTAAGAGACGGACACCGTTGGCACAGAGCCTTAGACTATGTCGTCTGTGGAATTAACCGAGCAGTCCACGCTGCGACGAAATTCTTACCATTTTACATGCTGTATGGTCGAGAAATGACCATGCCACACGACATAGTGGCCGGAACGAGCACACCGGAGACCTTCACGGATAAGGAACACTAATCCGGCGGATCAAGGAGCGACTTCAACGGTCGCATGAGATTGCACGCATCAACATTGATGAGGCATTCGAGCGAAAAGCCGAACATTACAAGAAGTAGAAGTCCTCGCAGACCTTCAAACCGAGGGACAAGGTAACGGTGGAATTTCCGAACAACGACCCAGCCACAATGGAACGCTACGACGGAGTTTGGACGGTTATCAACTACTTTGGGCCGAATAACTTGCTCCTTCGATGCGAAGACGGACGTGAAGATACGGTAGCCGTCGACCGAGTCAAACATTGCCCGGTCGAAACGAGTCGACCAGCAACTCGGTCATTTGGCCCGGTAGTCGACCCGACCGAAGGGAAGTCTACTCGGAACCGAAGAAGAAGTTTGAAGTAACCGCCGAAAAATCTTCGGATCCGACCAACGACGCGGATAAAACGGAACCGACGGTGAAGAAGAAACGAGGTCGACCTCGGAAGAAACCGCCGACTGACTTCGAGACACCAGCACTGCAGGAACTGCAGAAGCAAGATGTGATAACCGCTGAACCAGCACCGACTACGGAAGAAGTAGCTGAAAACGAAGCTCAACCGACCACGGAGAAGCCAAAGGAGTCGGAAGATAAGTCGGAAACACCGGTCCAACCAGCTGACCAACTCACGGAAGAATTGAAGAAGTCGGTAACTAAGCCAGCTCAAAAGAAGAGGACGGTCAAGAAAACCGACTCATCGGCACCGACCACAGAGGTCGTCGTAGCAGACTCGGCAGTCTAACCGACTAAGTCCAAACGGAAGTACGGAACGGCTAAGAAACCAAAGCTGACGGCACCACAGATGCTAGAGGAGACTGAAGTCGCTAAAGACGAAGCCCATAAGGAAATCCTCGAAAGAATCTCGGAAGGACGGGCGGACTCGGAAACACCAGTTAAAACAGCAGTCATAACAGAATCGACTGAGTTATAGGGCCATAAGCATAAAATTTAGAATAAGTTTTAGGTAGCTTAACAGTAGCTAGGCATAGATGGACCTTTGGTGTCGAAATGGAATCTCTCTTAAGTTGAATGCACGGGATTTAGAAGAATTCTAACGCGCCGTATTTCCTCACCTTGACAGCAAACAGCAACGTCATGTCGTCACCGAAACGACCCACCTTCCAGCGGATCTAACAGCGGACGTAGCGGATCAGGGTCGGGTCGTCCGCACCCGTATCAACACCCACGCTCGTCGTCGCGTTCGGATAATTCGCGGTCGGCAGCACAAACGCCCCTACCGCAGGTAGAAAATCCTAACGTTAACGTAACAGCTAATTTGTTAGCAGGTCTTACGGTCAGGCCCCAACATGGAACGTATCGACCAGCATATCGACCAATCCCGCCACAAATTGTGCCACCGAACACCGGAGTCGATACAACAGGACTTTTGGTAAATTACGGCGCAGCAACGAATCAGACGACTCCAGTAACGGCACACCCATATGGTCAAGTGCCGCCTTATCACTGGTCGGTGCCGACTACAATAGTCGGACCGATCAGCCCAGCATCAACAATGATGACTGGATCAGTTTTCCTGGCACCCACAATGGTGCCAGGGATGGCTAACATAGCCGGACCAATCTACACGACGCCCACAAGGGCGCCAAGTAGCATGGTATATAATGGACCCCCAATTCGATTTGTACCAGTTCCGCCGACGCCCGGAATGGTATCTCCAACGAGATTGGCAACAATCAGCGTGGTCGGCCCGAACAACACAATCTCGCCACCAAGGCCAGTATTAGTGTCAGATCCACTCGGACCGATCACTCCACCAATCTCGCCTACTCAGCTCGGACACCCGGGACAACAGAATCTGTGGACCAATCCGAGTGCGACCACATACTTGCTGGATCGACTAAACCAGCATAGGAACCAGGTCGGAGGACAGGGCCAACAAGGAACTGTTTCGACGGCGACTACACAAGTCGCTGCGTCAATGCCTCTACCGAGGACGAGTAACGGGAGATCTGACGCCGAACTGCGCCACCAAGAGGATACTGACCTCATGCTAGAAGACCGCAACGGTGCGATAACCAATTCAAGCCGACTGATGCAATTGTTGGACGAACTCTCGCCTAATCAACAAGATTACCAGCAACAGCGGGAAAGCATCATGGATCAACTACGACGGAATCACGACTATGTGATGAGCAAGGATAACGAAATCCGAGCTGCGAAACAACCAACGACTCCATCAGCAGTCGTCCCGACAGCACAGTTCTCACCCATGGTCGTGCAAAATTTGAATCCACCAGTAACAGTTCCCGCTCTACAGCCGAATCCGATCCAGCACGTCCCTCAAGGATTACCAGTGGAACCGCTCCCAACAGTACAGGAGCTGAACCAATTTCTACGGATGACCGCCATAGTCATCGGACGGATCGATACGACACTGGATGATACACCAACGGGAACCAATGAGTCGGGAAGCCTCGACAACGACCGAGAGGCTATTAAAAAGTGCACGAAATGGCTACGACCATTTTTGCAGACCGACATTCCGACGCAACCGACGTTGCTAATAAGATTCCGGACAAGAGTGGAAAATGGGCCCAGACTCAAACTCTGACTCTGACTCTGATTCTGACTACTCAAAGTCTGACTCTGACCGCTCAAAGTCTGACTCTGACTACTAAAAGTCTGACCCTGATTCTGAAATTTTCTTAGGTTTCTTAGGGTTTTTCTTAGGGGTTCTCCTAGGTTTTCTTAGGTTTCTTAGGTTTCTTAGGATTCTTAGGTTTCTTAGGTTTTCTTAGGTTTCTTAGGTTTCTTAGGTTTTTTAGGTTTCTTAGGTTTCTTAGGTTTCTTAGATTTTCCTTATGTCTCTTGGGTTTCTTAGGATTTTCTTAGGTTTGGACAGTCAGAGTCAGACTTTGAGCGGTCAGAGTCAGAGTTTGAGCGGTCAGAGTCAGAGCTTGAGCGGTCAGAGTCAGAGTCAGAATCAGAGCTTGAGCGTGGGCCCAGATATGCCGATACTCACACTAGTACAGGTGCAACCCATTCTCGACAGTAGAGAAAGACAGATTGAGGATGACGCAATTTGAGGATCGTGTAGCCCTTAACAATGCGGCGCATAGAGCTAACGACTTCGGTCGGAGTATTCGAATGGCCCAGCGAATAATGACACCTGGCCACCCAGCCACGAACGACGAGGCTATCCGACTAAATCAGCATGTCCGAC